TAGAGTGAAATAATGATAGATAGAGCAAAGTAATGATAGATAGAGCGACAATGATAGCTAGAGCAACAATGATAGATAAAGCGACATAATGATAGAGCGAAATAATGATAGATAGAGCGACAATGATAGCTAGAGTGACAATGATAGAGCGAAATAATGATAGATAAAGCGACAATGATAGAGCGAAATAATGATAGATAGAGCGACAATGATAGATAGAGCAACATAATGATAGATAGACAGAAAGGAAGAGCAACAAAACGATAGAGCGACAGATTGATAGAGCAAAAAATAGATGGAGATAGAGCGACAGACGGACGGACAGAGAGATAGATACCTGAGGTTTAGCAGGTAGAGGAGGAGGATGAGGAAGGTCGACTCCTCTGGCGAGCAGCTCTGGTGAGCGTTGAGGTCGGGGGCCGATGTTCTCTATTATAACTGTATTAAGAAAGACAGGATGTTCAGTAAACTTATGAGAAATAACAGCTTGTATATGAAACATAATAAATATTAGGCTTGGGCGGTATCCAAATTTTGATACCGTCAAACCTCCTCCCTATTTTACCGCGGTATACGGTATTACCGCGTGACTAATTAAAAATTATTACATAAGGCTCAGACGGCATCACCAAACTGTTGGTTTGTGCAGGGATGAGTCACAATTTTCGAATATTCAATTATTTGATTTTATTATAGAATATGGAATAGGTTGTGGGATTATTGTCTATAAAAAATCCCCATGTTTTCCGTTCTGATGCGGTGGTGACACGTTCAACCAGAGGGTGGCGATGCCAATAATGCATCTAAAAGCTGTCAATCAACTCTCAGACAACAGGAGAAGATGCACATTGTGAGCGGAGCATGTGAGCGGAGTGGTAATATTTCCTCCAGAGCAGAGAGCGCATTTCTGAAGATCACGCGCCGCGTGCTCAGTCCACTCAGCGTCGCGCGCTCAGCATGCCCGCAGTGACATGCTGGTTAGAAAACATGTGAAGTAGGGCTGCCCGTGCATGACTTAAACAATTTTTTTTCTAGTTGACTAGTAGTAGTTGATTTAAGCCATTAGTCTAATCATTTATATTGATTAAATTACTTAAATATATATAGGAGAGAATGCTAAACCATAATGAGCGTTTTCGTAATATATAGCCTATTCTGCATCTCAAAGCACACATAAAGCTTGCCACAAAGAACCGGCAAAAGTAATTATTATGCATGAAACATTTTAATTGTTTATTAATAAAAAACTTTCTATGTCAGTGGCTGCACAGATAAAGTTTACGATGCAGACTCGCATCTTCGCAGTAGTGAACGCGCATAGAGAGAAATGCACACTTCATATGAATTAGCCTACAGAGAGCAGCCCATTTCTTTTAGTTTTTAATTGTTTTGTTTAAAAGTAGACATTTCAAGCTTTCTATATATATACACTTCTCAGATATTTAAGGCATCTATCTTATACGCTGAGTTTCGTTTATTTTAGGAGACGCGCTCCAGTTCACGCGCCGGCTTATATTGTCTAATATATATCCTTCTTATTTATTAATCCAGGCAATTCGTTGATGAAACATTGATTAAAATGAAGATACAATTTATGCGAAACGAAATTCACTTTAAAGAAAGGCTTTCTACAAAACAAAACGTAATAAGTGGTCAAAAATCATGTCTGACCCATTCCAAATGTTTTCCGATATTGGCCATCTTATGATCCTATCTTATTCATCTCATGCAGTTTCCTTTTCATATAAATCAACATAGATGAAAAAAAAAAAAAAACCATTATATTATTAAACATAAATATGAAAAGAAATGAGTTTTTTATTTATTTATTACTTATAGCCTATTTAAGTGTCACACTGCTCCGCTGTATAGCTGTGTAGCCTACATGCATGTGTGCGTGCATATGGTGGAGGGGTGCTATTTTCGAATAATAATTAAATAATACCAGGCGATCTTCAAATATTATTTTTGCTTGAAATGCCCATCCCTGCCAAACTGCAGAAGTCGTGTTCTTCTTCGAGACCAGGTCACTCGTTGCGCAACTTGCCATCTTTCCCCCTCTCTTTCTCCTCCACACTGTCACGTGATGACAACCACACATAAGCATTTTTAGCCATTAAATAAATTATATTTAATCCTTTTCTCCTATATAAGTGCATTGGATTTTTTTTTATGACGGTATGACGATATTGAAACTGATACCGTTGCTATTTTTAGATCCCGCGGTATACGATATTACCGTATTACCGCCCAAGCCTAATAAATATAGTCTCAATACCATCAATCCGTCTGTCCTGTTTCTCTTTTCTCTCTTGTTCCCGGCTCAGTTGGGCAGTCTGTGCTGAACGGATGAAGAGGAAGGCCGAATCGTCATGGTTTCGGACTCCATAATTATACAGGGTGTCTTTGTCCTGGGCGAGACGCTTCCCGATCACCCAGCGCTGGAGGGCCGGGTGGAAGCCGTAGTCATTATTGATCTGGAACACAAATATATATATATATATATATATATACACATTTAGTATTATCTATTATTTTGGGTTTCGGTTTCAGAGAAGAGTTTTCCTTCTCACGTCCATCACTAACACTCTTCACCTTTTCTTTGAGCTCTGAGACCGTCATGTAGACTGGAACCAGCACTGTTATTGGGATGTGGGCGTCTGATACGGCGTCCGCCACTCCTACTCTCAATCTGCCGCCACACAAAGCCAAACACAACCATGGTTACGTATGCTCAGCGTGTCAGTGTTTCTCGTGTGATGGAACCGGTCTGACGGCATACCTGATGCTGTCTTTAGAGTACGCATCTGGATTTATTTTGACACACACGGGGAGTTTCAGGTCCAGAAGTCGATCCAGGTGTTTAGTGGCTTCATCTTTGTCTCTGGAGTTGATGGCGTCACTCAGCAGTTGTGCGGCGTCCTCCGCTGCCACGGTAACATAAGGCATGTTGCTGTGTCAAAATATGACTTATGGTATTTATATTTACTGCATAATATATTTACTAACACTCACCTTCTTTTATATTTCTAGAGGCATCTAGGGCAGCCATGCTTTAATCTTGAAAGCTTATTAAAAAAAAAGAAGCAATAAGTTTAGGTAACAATTATTTTAAATGGTTATCAAAATTAAATGCATGTATAAATTTTTTTTTTTTTTTTTTATATCCAAAAATATATAATTGTATATGTCCAAAACAAAAACGGCAATATCATGGTTTAGAGACAGAAATGTATTCGATTTTTAAATTTGTTTTATTGAACAATAACACAACAGTCCTGTTATCTCACCGTGACAAGTACAACTAAAAATTGGCTTACAATCTTTAGACATATATGTGCATACTAAAAAAAAGTTTTAAATAGTTCATATATTTTAAAAATATATACTTATATTTTTTAATAAATTAAATATTTATTTATTAATATAAAAATATATTATTTTTCTGTCATGTCATATCACATCATTTCGTATCAATCATATTATTATGTCCAAAAAACAGCAATAAGTTTTAGACTAAAATTGTTTTAAATAGTTCATATATTTATATAAATATATTTTAATATTTCTAAATAAAATAAAATTTTATAAATATTAATAAAAAATATTTTAAATATATTATATTAACATTGCAATAAGTTTTAGTTTCAGACTACATTTTCTTAAATAGTTAATATATTTAAGTAAATATATATATATATATATATATATATATATATATATAATACAAATATTAACAAAAATAAAATATACTGATATATTATATTAAAATATATATTACAGTATATGTCCAAAAAAACAAGCAATATCTGTAGATATTGGATCACAAAAAAATACTGTGCTTATACCATGGTATTTGTATTATGCTCTCTGCACTGTAAAAAGTGGTAACCTGCAACTGTTACATTAAAGAGCTATTTCTAATTTAGGTTTGCTGGTATACATTTATCTTGGTTCAGTAATGTTAAATCATATTTTTGATAGTTAATTTAGATGTTTCCATGTTGTACCATCATATACCTATTTTATTTAATTACATTATATTACAATACATGCCTATTCCAGATTACAGTAGTACTTTTTTATTGAGATTTTGCACCAGTTGAAATTCGGTCCATTAAACTATTCTGCTACTTTATTCATACATGTTCGAAAAAACATGGCAGCGCCAATGTACTATTTAGTGTAATTTATAACTAAATCATAATAGAAATAATTAACTAAATATGAATACCGGTACATATCTTTTTGCATACATCTAAGAAATTGCATACAAAGTGCAAAATGTATTTTTACACTATCTGTAAAATTTGACAACCTTAGAAACAACCGCAAACATAAAACATGCGCTCGTTCAGCACAGCAGCAGCGACAGTAAAACAAATATGACGAAATAAAACTTACCAACCATAGGACAATTGTAATAAAACTCTTCGTGTCGTATCTGTGTGTTTTTAACTAGACGCTGTTAATTAAAACCTCCGTGATATTCTCAAATCAGGGGGAATTTAGAGGAATGAAAAGTGAAACGAAGTTGCTTCAGGAAGTTCCAGTCAGCGCTGTGGGAAAGTCTCGTGAGGTTGTGCAACTCCATGAAAGACAGACAGATGCGGAAGACACTCGGTTAATATTTCAATGTAGTATTTGTACATTTATGCTATATAATAAAATAAATAAAAATAAAAAATAGTTTTAACATAAAAAATGCGAATATAAAAATACAGATAACTGAAATTAAAGTCCCCGTGAAATCAATTTTTTTTTTTTTGACTTTTAGTATGAATATGTTATCTATAAGCTAAACAAAATATAAGTAGAAAAAGGTGAATTGAAATGTGGCCAAAAGTAGTCAAAACAAAAAAAGTTAGCAATAAATGTGATTGCTTTCGTTTAAATAGTGTTGTAAAAATATAAAATATTTAATATATTATAAGAGATTTACTGTCTGTGTTTTTCCCCCCAACATTTGTAGACTTTTATCGAGGTGTTCTCGCGAGATTTGACAGCGCGAGAGGGTGCATGGCGCTCCGCGTGCTGTGAATGAAGGACAAACAAAGCCTGTAATTCTGTGAGTTTCTCTGTTTTTAGACCTCTAAACAGTTGTTTAATTGCATATTTCAATGTAAATTGTTTTTTAAGCGGCTGGAGGCTCTTTAACTCTGTAGTTTAAGTGTTTTTGGAGTTTGTAGCCAACACAGACCTTGCACGTGACCTAGAAGAAACTGATCTTCCCAATAATGCTTATTACTTTAATAATTCACCTTTAAAGAATATTGTGGCAGTACTATGATACAATGATTGTATTAGATGGTAATACCATGTTGCATTCTCATATACCTGGTTGTTACTGAATAATTCCTTACCGTATTAATTTACATGTTTGAATATGCTACTATATTTATATTATAAACAGACATCTTTGTGACAACTTCTGCCATTGACATACCATGATTCTTCTAGTAAATAGGAACTGAAATGCATCGATATTAACGAGTTTATATCTTTCTTTATTCTAGCACACCATCTGAAAGGATTTGTGTCAAACTACAAGCTATGGAGGAACCCTCAAAGTTTGAGCGATATGTTTACAAAAATGCTTCAGTTTATCATTATATGAAAATTTCTCTGTAAGTGTCATGATACAGGTCAGTTTTGATCTGGGTGTTTTTATTGCAGTCTTTAGACGGTGAGCATAAAATGGATCGAAACATAACATTTTTCTTTATTTTTAGTGTTTTGGCGAATGGAAACAGACATATTTCTTCTGCAGATTTCAAACAAATGGTCATCCGTGGACTTAAAGAACTTTACGGAGAGGTGAGCACATAGTATGGCTCAACCATGTAGGTAGGAATATGGTTTCTATAAAGTCAATGCATAATACAAATGCATAATACATTGGGAATTGTTCATTTAATTATTAATGATTCCAAATAAATAAAATAACCAAAAATTACTTAAATTCTGTAATAAATACAGTGAACTTTTATTTTCAGATGGAGACTATTTACACCCCTAATAAAATTGATTAAAGAGGTTTTATTTATAATAAAACATAGATAACTTAATTTTCTTTGTTGTATAAATATGTCCTGAAGTCAGTAGTCTCTTTTGACTTTATCCTGCTTTCTGACTGTTTCTAATGCATAATCTTATTTCTTCTGTATGGCAGATTGGAGCTTCTATTCCATTTGATCTGCTGAAGTTTGATGAGAACGAATTGACCGGCATACTACGAGTGTACAACAGGTAAGTCATGCTCCTAGTACAAATCTCGAACATTTAGGCCAAAGTGTTTAAGCATGGTTTAATTGAAGTACAGAGCTGTTAGTAAACATGGAGAAACTTGCGGTATTCCTAGTCTGGCCTCACCATTTTAATTACGATTTTTTTGTCTGTAGGAATAAGTATCTGAAACGGAGCGAACTGTTTTTTTCTGAAATGAATAAACACTAATGGATTTGTCCCACCCATTTTGTGTATCTAATAATGTTCATTCTTAATATTCTGTTGTTTCTTAATCTCAGTGGCCTGGTGAAATTGTGGAGTGCATTAACGTTACTGGGATCATATCAAAATGAGGCATGTGCATTCAGAGTCACACAGGTACGTTTTCCCCAGTATTACGTCTGAAGCTGATTCGACATTTACTTGAGCCCTGAGTCTGCATTCTTTTAATTCACACTGGATTTCAGTAAAGAGCTTGTGGATCAATTGTACCTCTGCCAGGAATGACTCGACAAAATTTTAATGTGGCTATAGGCAGTCTGTCAGCCAGCAATTTGCATCAGAAAGGCGGTTACTGTGGTGTCTGTTAATCTCCTTTTAGATACCGAAACCCATTTCACTTCTAATCCATGTCATAGACATCTGTTTTGAAAGCAACTCTAATGTTGTCTTTATTTATCATTGCAGGTGTCGCCATTTTTGTTAGCACTGTCTGGGAATAGCCGTGAGCTGCAGTTTGAAAACCAGTTGACATCGTGAGGTGGGCCTACAAAACAAATACCTTGGAAAAAATGACGTTCTTTCTTAGAAGAAGTATTTTCAACAGAAATATGTACCATGTTGTCAACTCAGCACTGACAGTTCCTGCATCCCTCACAGTGGGGCACAGGTCGCTTTACATCGGTGAACGGGCCTCGCTAAGCAAAACATTCAGCGCCAGAGACGTCGCACTTTTTGCTGAGCTGACAGGGGACACGAATCCTCTCCACCTCGACCCAGAGTACGCCAAAACGACCTCTTTTGAGAGCCCCATTGTGCACGGAGTGCTGATTAACGGTCTCATCTCAGCAGTTATTGGGACAAAGTTGCCTGGTAAAGGCTGCGTGTTCCTCTACCAGGAAATACGCTTTCCGGCACCGCTCTACATTGGAGAGGAAGTTGAGGCGGAAGCGGAGGTTAAAAAGATCAAAATGTCCTTCGCTTTTATTTCTGTTTCCTGCGCTGTCAAAGACAAAGTGGTCATGGAGGGAGAGGTCATAGTGATGATGCCGCAGAATGGAGAGCAATTGTGAGGAATGCTGCCGTTCAGTTTGTGTGTTTATGTTCCAGATATGCTTCCAGGAATTAAATGTTCTTTCTTGCTTATTTTCGTTCTTTTGAAATGTGACGCTCACTCAAAGATTTAATATTCATTGCTTTTGTTCTCTGAGGTGCAGTTTAAATACACTGTGTGAGAAAATAACTTGACTTGACTGATGTGGGTAAGAAATCGAGCTGTTTCCAACCTCAACAAGGAGATCATTTTCAGATCCTTTCAAATTGTTATTTCTAATAGAAAACAGTATGGTTAACATAATAGTATTACAATTACATTAAATTAACCAGCAAATGTCAACTTTTCTTTCGAACTAAATCTTCTGTAATGCATCCAGTGTAACTTCAGGTTATTCACCACAAGATCTTCAAATAACTATCTTAGTCCTCAATACTTAGATTTTTCCCTTTCTCTCTCTCTTGTGTCTTGTTTTTATCTAATATTTGTTCAAAAAGTTTAATTTATTTTGTACATTGGGCAAGTTAAATATATATATATATATATATATATATAAAATAATTATAAATAAAACTATATGTAGCGTGTTCAAGATGGGAGGAAAATCAGGATGCTTTGCCAAGAATATATAAGATAAAAATTGCGAATTCATTCATATTGAGTCACATGTTACTCCGACTGGTCACATGATATATTTTTTTTGTCAACATTTACCCTCAACGCTAGCAGCTTCGCAAAGATGCAAAGCTTGTGTTACAAACTCCAACCAAAACTGCATAACAACAGCCATATAAATAAAGTTGAAATTTGTTTATTTGTTATTTTGCTAAGTTTAATTTTATACCGAGCCTCACAAGAAAAGATATGATTGAATTTAGCCGTGAAGCCTTATGTGGTTTCCTGTTTGAGTGCACTTACTATAACATGGCGTCACTCACTTTATTTCTTTCTTTTCAATGTTATTGTCAGAAAAATACAACAGAATATAACTGTAAATAATTGATTAATTTCTGTATTTTACAAACGGCCCGGCTTAAAAGATAATTTTGGTGAATATAAACATAAATGCGGCTTCACTCACTTTCACTCGAGAGTGCGCACTAGAGTGGACGAGCTCCTCTCAGATACAACATCTACGTCATACTTTACTGGCAGTTTCTGATTCGTTTCTCCCACGTTGTCACAAGCACAGTCGCGCAGTGAACCGTCACGTCGTTTTACCGACAGAGGCGGGCTCTCGGTTAAACCGAACCCTGTCGAACCGGGGCTGTTTGGTGTTGTTTTGATCCAGGATGGCGTTCATGGAGCAGCGGCCGCAGCCGTTGTCCGGGAGGAAGCCGCCGCTGGACGACACCGTGCCGCTGAGCGCCGTGATCGAGGCCAGCCAGAGTTTACAGGCGCACACGGTAACGTTAAACAGAACCACCCGGAGGGTCTCTGGGTCATTAAAACCTTTCATATCGATTATAAATGCGCATTGAAAATGCCAGCAGATCAGATTTTATGGGGCTTTGACGTCGATTATGACGTTCAACGTTGTTGATTCTCGATTATTTGTCGATAGGGATCAAATTAATCGCGTTTGGTGACAAAGATCACTAACGTTAGTAGTTTAATATTAATTTCTGTAGTGAGTTAAGACTGGAACACGTAATGTACATTTAGTGAAAGGTAAACATTTTGAAAATGTAAAAAAATTTTTTTAAGAAATAGGAAATGTCTGCATAAAAACCCATTTGATTTTGATTTTAAACATTGAAAGATTTAGTTAACAAATATCAACTTTGAATGAACTGATAAAAAAAATAGCATAAATCCTTTAAAAATATGTTTATTTAAAATCAAATATGCTGAACATAATCAACTTTTAAACAAAAGTGATGTGTAAATAGTATTTTAACAACTAGATTAAGATTAAGAGGGTCATTATATTTATATATATATAAAAAAAAAATTATTAAGGGTTTGAAGTAAACAATTTACAAGCATTTTCAAAACAGATACCATCTATGCTGTAGATCTCATGTGACATTTTAAACGGTCTTGCTCTGTACTTGTGGTTTTACGGGCGGAATTGAAAAAAATGTCATTTGCATTTGAGCCGAGCATAATTTCCTTGTGCTGCGAAACCGAAGCCACAAGACATACGAGTATTTCCTTTCTCATCCATTCATCTATTAACTTCTCATGATCCATTATATGAAAGTGCAATCTAGTAATCCACTTTCGCTTCTGTAAACTTTACAACCCTTTTAAATTTCTTGTTTAAAAAAAAACCTTATTTTAGTTTAGCCGAACTGAACAGCTTCACCTAAATAATCAGTTAATATGATTGATTAAATATATTTATTGCTATTTATTTTGTAATCTATACATGTCACAGTGTTGATGATTTTAATACATGAATTGTGTGGAAATAATCAGTCACAGAGTGGATGTCATCTAAATAAAATAGCGTTGCAGTGCATTCTGGAAACTGAGTACCTTTGCTCTTGTTTTAGTCGTATGGAAACTATCAGGTGACATTTTTAAAGGAGAGACAAACATTAATGAGTATAAGCATCTGGACCTCACCGTAAACGTCAGGGTCACCGTGAGGTTGTTGCAGGGTTTTTGGAGACTTGGTTACGTTTTGTCTTTTCACTTCCTGTTTTGACATTTCTTCACAATTCTTTCATAAAAACCACAAGTCTATGACAACATGATTTCGGTCTCTTGAGTTTCCAATATTGTGAAGAAATAACAAAACAAAGATGGACTTGTTTAGGTTGTTTTCCACTATTCAGGCTAAACTGGTTTGCTGATGTTAAAGTTAAGCCAGTTTTTCATCAGGGTCTTGCTGTTGTACTTTTTATTTAAATGTATGTTTCCTAGTTTGGATTCAGTCATCATTTGTTTTTCTCTATTAACAGGAGTATATCATTCGTGTCCAAAGGGGCGTTTCCACAGACAACAGTTGGACGGTGAGTTTGGACTATCCATCTATCTATTCATCTATCCATGGCATCTATCATGTTTGTTATGGTCACAATGGCTGATTTAGTCTTCATTTTTTTTCCGCAGGTCATCCGGCGATACAGCGACTTTGACATGCTGAATAATAGTTTACTTGTAAGTGGACTGTTAGAACAAGCCTGTGTTGAAAAAGGATCCTTTCCCATAAATGTGTTTGACAGCTGCTGTTTCCAAATAAATACTCAGTGAAAGAGTAAGTATGAGTCAATCTCTCTGTTTTCATAGATTTCCGGCCTAAACCTGCCACTTCCTCCTAAGAAGCTGATAGGAAACATGGACCGAGAGTTTATAGCCGAGCGTCAGAAGGGTCTTCAGGCCTATCTGAACCACATCACGCGTCACCATGTCCTCTCCAGCTGTGAGCTGGTCAAAAAGTTCCTTGACACTAACAATTACTCAGCAAACTACACAGGTAATACAACCAGGGTGTATTTTAAGACTAGATGGGATTTTGTGGATCAAAATTATTCTAAAACTCGCCCTTTCCTTATTTTTCAGAAATAGCCTTACAGCAGGTGTCCATGTTCTTCAGATCCGATCCAAAATGGGAGGTTATTGAGCCGTTAAAAGACATTGGTGAGTAAAGCTGTACAGTTATTTGGTCAAATGCTGACAATTTCCATCCTATTATATATTATTATTATAATGTATTAACGTATTATATATTATTTATTGATTACAATTTTTGTTGCTTTTACATTGACCATGAAAGATCAACATCGTCAGCCTTGAGGTGCAGCACAACTATAAAAGTTAATGATTCAAGTTTTATTGATTTGTTTCTCACGATGACGCGCTGTTTATATTCGCATCCCAGCGTCAGGCCCAGCAAATCACGTTGACACATTGATAGTTCCTGACAACTTGATGGATTTCAGAGGCTCATGGCATTTATTCCTTCTTCTAAAAACAGTTCCATAGCCGAGACACATTTGAGAAGAAACTTGCTGTTTGGTTTCTTTCAGAGGAAGATTCATAAACAAAGTTTTAACATTTACCTATTAGAACATGTTCAGGTTATTTTACTGCAAAATCAAAAGAAAAAAGAAAAATAATTTGAAAATTTCATGAAAATTAAGCTTTTTTCCTGTAAATTGTCATTACCGTAATGGGGGGGGAAATCTCATTGTCTTTACTGTAATGCAAAAAAAATTAATACATTTTTGTTTCGTTTTAAAAATACATTTGGAAACTGTAGTTGTTAAATTGGATGTTTGTTTGTTTCTGTATTACGGTACTGAGAATGGATTTTTTTTACATGTTACGGTAATGAAACTTTAAAGCATAAAATGTTCTTATTTGTTATGAAATGAATGTCAAAATGCAAAAATGTTATTATTGTATTATTTTTCACTTTTTGGTTTTTCAATTTTGAGGTGAGATTTCTATTTATTGATATTAATATTTATTCAATCACTTAATGTCTGTCTTTTTATAGGCTGGCGGTTGAGAAAGAGGTACTTCTTGGTCAAAGACAAAGATCAGCCCAAAGAGAAACAAGTATTAAGTTGGGTAAGTTTCAATTTGACCCATACAAACACAGATCAAAAACTTTTTTTTTTGTTATATTCTTGTTCTGTTAATCCAGTACTTTGACCCTCACCTTGTTTAATTCCCATTATTATGTAACCCTGATGCAGTACATCTTGTTTGTTGTACTCAACACTACTTTGTTTGGCTGCACAAAGAACTTAACTAACTTACTAATCCCTCTTGACGTATTTGTTTTCATTCTCTTCTATAATTGGCCACAGCATTGTGTGACCCTTGTACTCACTGTAATAATACGTTTCTTTACCAATTATAGGTCGATTTGGGTCCAGATAAGTTCCTGTCCGACAAAGATCTCCAGTCTGCGATGAAGCTGCTTCCAACATTTTCTGTAAGTCTTAAATTGGGTTGAGGGGTTACCGGTGTTGATATATTGTTGTAAGAGTTTTGTTATGGTGTTGCTAGGAAGTTCTGGTGGTTTTTAGGGCCTAAAATACATTTACAACTATTCAGATTGAAAATCAATTTAATATAAATATAATAGCATTGATTTTTAAAAATATTTTTATTCATCAAAACATTGTTGCAGTGTGATGATCTTTTAGTAATCAATTGACAATAGACGTTATTTTCATGATACGCAATATTCCCATGCAATTATCGTAATGCAAAACAAATAGGAATATAATTAATTTCACTTTTGTTGTATTTAATTGCATAGCTGTTAAGGAGAGCCGACACACTGTCGGGAATGAACTAAAAGAGCCTGTCTTTGTGTACAGACCCGAATGTTTGGATGTTTTGTGTGCGAACACTGTCATGTGCTCTTGTTTTTTCTGCGTCCTCAAGTTCAGCAGCCGTACTGCCAGATTAAACCGATCACTGCAAGCCCATCTTTACAAAAGACTCCATTAAAGTCATGTGTAGACACCCGAACACGGGTTAGATGCAGTCTTATTTTAGTGTTAAGATATTTTCAGTGTTAAGATATTTAGTTTGCTTTTATTTTAAATTTTAGTTTAATTTTTTGGTAATTTTATGGGCTTATTTATTAGTTTTAGTTTCTTTAAAATATTAGAATTTTTATTTCAGTTTTAGGGGCCTTTTACATGACACCGTTTTCAACTAAAAACTTGTATGCATTTTGGCCGTTCAGTTACACGAGAACAGCGTTTTGGGGGCGTAAACTTTTGAAATCAGGGTTCAAAGTGCGAGTTTTTGAAACCGATACCATTAATGTCTCTGTGTAAACTACAAAAACACGAATTTGTGAAAACGGTGACGTCATGCGCATGCATATTATGTGTTCAGTCTGTAGGCGCGTAGAGTTTCTTTACAAAGTGACATCGCCTGGCATGAATAATACAGCGTTTTTAATAGTTTTCCCGGATCCGTGTGAACAGGGATCGTTCTGACAAAGTAGTTGTCTGTACGAAAAGAAAAAAAAGCAAAGGAAAAGCTTTTCCATTTTTTTTAGTACATTGTTGTTGTGTAAACAAACCCTTAGTTTTTATTTGTTTACTTATTAACCCTTTATTTTATTTAGATTAAGTGCTTCAACTTAAACTCATTTCAGTTAGTTTCCAAGGCAAAATTTCTACGTTTTTCACTTAATATTTATAAGAATTCCGTTCATCTTCGAAACACAAATACTGTTTTTTTTTTTTTTTTTTTTTTTTTTTAATCTGAGAGATTTCTGTGTCTCCTTTGAAAGTCTATTCACCCAAAACTCTGACGGTTCAAAACTTTTATAAAGAGGTCCTAAAAGAAATCCATATGAATGGAGCAGTTTAATCCACGTCAACTGAACAGACACAATTGCTTTATATGATGAACAGATTTAATTTAAGCTTTTATTGACATATAAACATTGATTAACGCTCATACACATAGAGCACATCCGATATGGAAAACGGAAACCCAAACGTACTTGCGTGCCTCGCAAGATCGAACCTCATTGGTTCACATGCTTGACCTTCTGTTTACATATGAGTGCTCTATGTATGTTCGCTGACCAATGTTTGCATGTGAATAAAAGCCTAAATTGAATCTGTTTATCATATAAAGTGATCATATCTCTTCAGAAGACTTGGATTAAACCGCTCGATCCACAGTTTCAGTTTTGGGTGAATAGACTTTCAATGGAGGGACAGAAATCTCTAGTTTTTTTTAAACATCTTCATTTGTGTTCCGAAGATGAACTAAACTCGTATGGGTTTGGAACGACGTGCGAGTGAATAATTGATGACCGAATTTTCATTTTTGAGTGAACTATCCCTTTAATGGTTACTTCAAGGCAAATCGTCAGTCAGATGGAGGTGGACGTCTGATCATGATGTCCGCATTCCAGATGAGCAGATTAAAGCAATCCAACTGAGAAACACGGTAATGAGGAATGCATGACAAGGTCATTTCTGGCCATGAGGCTTATGGGAAAACATGCAGGAAATCTGAATTCTAGTGTCCTCCAGAATATCATAGCAATTGTTGTAGAAGAATTCTGCTCTTCTTTGCAAACAATCTCAAGAAATTCCTGATGCCAAAGATCAGACTTTGTTGGTCCAGTCAACAAAGCCGAGATGCCAGCTGTATATCTAACAATCTCACTTCTTAGAACCTGTTGAACCAGTGAACGTTCATTGGGTTATCTTCATTTTTTATAAAGCCAAACTCCTTTTTGTCTGCCACAATCAGTGACGCCGTTACTAACGGCATTACTTTTTCCAGTAACGAGTAATCTAATTGATTACTCTTCTCATCTTAATAACGCCGTTCCCGTTACTGCCAAAAAATGCGGCCCGTTACTATAACTGATGAAGCGGGGTTTTTTTTTTTCATCAGACCAACTAGATCTCTGAGCGAGAGGCAAATACTTTTTTTACTGTTCTTCCTTGGTTAGTGGGTAGAGCACGAGACAAGCGCATAAATGCTGAAGACTGAGGTAGAGTAAAATGTCATTGTAAGCCAATCAGAGGTAGAGTTGGGCGGGTGTTCGAAAGCACGCATAGTAGTAGGCATTCGGCACTTTTGACTCAGCACACTGAAAAGAGCCGGCTCTTTTGGCTCACAAACGGCTCTTTAAATGAATTTGACTATAATATTTAAATTTTTATTACATAATTATTTAATTTCAATAGGCTAAATTTGTAAAAATAGAGTCGGCTCTTCAGATATGCGAGCCAGCTCCCGACGTTCACCTAAAAGAGCCGGCTCTTAGAGTCGGCTCATTCGCGAATCGCGAACGACCCATCAAAAGCTCATTCGCGAACGAGTCGATCCATCATCACTAACGGCTAACGCTCATGAATTGCGAACGACCCATCATAACGCATAGTCGGACAGGACAGGACACACAATGAACAACACAAGCAAGCCAGTCAGTCAACGAGAGACAGGTATGGCGACGAGCTTAAGAAGCTTAATTTAATTTTGCCCAGTTGTGGCCTGTTGAGGGGCAATAAATATCAAAAGTTCCAAAACATCTATTGTGTTATTTGCATTGATCCACTATATAAACATAATATCTACATGGCATTTGATTGGAGGCTAGTCTCACTTTGTCCCACAGCAACATTTTTTTTTTTTTAGATGTGTGTAGCCTACAATGTTTCATGTTTCTGTTAATAATGTATTGTATTAAGTGTCCATTTCATTATAATATTCAGATTTATCATAAATAATTGAACATGCACATGTATTGTAAGTTCCGTTAAAGAGGGGTAGAGGTGGGGTCACATTTGAGCATTTAAAATTTAATTTTACTTGAAAGTAACGCAATAGTTACTTTCTTAAGTAACTAGTTAATTTAAAAATTTGTAACTGAGTAACTAATTTAATTACTTTTTGGAAGTAGTAACTAGTAACTGTAACTAATTACTTTTTAAAAGTAACTTGCCCAACACTGGCCACAATTAATTCCTAATCTTTCTGGCGTCTCTTTAATAGTGGCGTTCCACCAATTGGTCTATTTTTTTATCTTTAAGAGAATATATTAAAAACCGTATATCAAGAAAGTTTACATAACATATCAATCAAAAAGAACAACTTAACCGATAAGTGTGGGTCATAGTGACCTGATGGCAAAGTGAGGCCTAATGTTTCCTGTTTCATTCAGTTTCCAGGCTTTTCTACAAACAAATTTTATATTTCTAATAAAAATATACTATATATTACCTAGCAACCAACCAGAACACCTTTTACAAACCGAATAGCAACACCCTGATAACTCCAACAACATCCTAAACTTGTGTCAGTGACTTTTCCATGGACAAAAACACTCAAAGAACAAGTTTACGTAGAAGTGTTTATATGTTTCTGACTTTTCCGTAGCATTCAAACATCTCCGCCGTCAGTTTCGCCACTAGCAGTGAATTGTCTGCACTAGTCATTAGAGTTTTCAGTGAGAAAGGAACGCTTAGGGATCACATTTGCAAGGTTTGTTTTCTTCTTCTTGACTTGTCAAAAATGTTTTTATTTTTTTCAGATTGTAACTTTTAACATATTTCAATATCTTTTTAATTCTGTCTTGAATTTTTCCGGTCCGCCAGGTGAAGCCCAAAGAACCCTTTCTTAAGAAGTACTGCAATCCCAAAAAGATCCAGGGTTTGGAGCTGCAGCAAATCCGAACATACGGAAGACAGATTCTGGAGGTCTGTTACGGCATGTTCAAAGATATTTTTTAGTTTTTGAAAGAAATTAATACTTTTATTCATCAAGGACGCTTTTTCAAAAGTGACAGTAAAGGCCATTTAAAATGTCACAGAAGATTTCTATTTCAAATTAATGTTCTTCTTTTGAACTTTTTATTTATCAAAGAATATCTTTCCACAAAAATATGAAGTAGCACAACTTTTTTCGACATTGATAATAATCAGAAATGTTTTTTGAGCAGAAAATCAGCATATTAGAATGATTTCTGAAGGAATAATCACAGGAATAAATGACATTTTACAATATATTCCAATAGAAAACAGTTATTTTAAATTGTAATATTTCAAAATATTATTGTTTTTACTTTATTTTTCATCAAATAAATGCAGCCTTGTTGAGCAGAAGAGACTTCTTTCAAAAACATTAAACAATATTACATTTGAATGATAGTATATATTTGAGTTTGCTAACTATTATTTTACGTCAAACTTTAACATTGTTTTTTCACTGTGGCGTATTTCCAAATGTAAATATGTAATTTATGTTTTTTCCAGGCACTAAAATTTCTCCATGACAAGGGTTTTCCGTACGGGCATCTTCATGCATCCAATGTCCTGATCGAGGAGAACACTTGTAAATTGTTGGATATAGAGAATTCATTACTGGGACTGCCATCATATTACCGACCCTATGTAACGCAGTTCAGGAAAATTAATGTAAGATGCCTTTATCATTATTATACTAAAAAATTAAAACCAAAATGAACAAATTAAATGATAAAATAATGTATTAATAAAATTGCTAAATATTTGTTATTTTAAATATTATTAATAATGTTAATATTTAAAATTTTATTAAATAATTGCTAAATATGATTAACTCATTCATTATTTTATATTTTCTTATTAATATTAAATCATTTAAATATGAATAATTAAACTGCTTGATGTTGAAAAGCTGATCTTTTTCCTTTCATCAGACAACAGAAAGCATAGACATCTACTCATTTGGACACTTGCTTTATGAAATGACGTATGGCCGCCCGCCTGATGCCGTGCCTGTAGACCAGTATCCTACGGCCCAGTTCCCATCTGTAGGTCAGTATGATCTTCTCGTCACCTTTATGAATGTTCTCTGGAGTATGACCAATCAGCCCACATGTAGTCAGAATTTTTTTTTTTTATTTAAAGTCCCCCTATTATGCTTTTCATTGAGTGTGTAATATAGCTGTTTGTGAATGTAAAAGGTTTGCAAAGATCAAAGTGCACAATAAATAAAGTTATTGTCTCCTAAAAGAAAGAACCTAATCTGCCCACGTTGTATGCACTTTAAGAATGAGGACTCTAGCTCAAATTAATACAGTAAAACCAACACCATCGTTATTGTTCGTATCGCTGTGTATTAAGTGTTGAGGAAGATCTGGAGCTGAAATTCAGATATATGGTAATGGACTTTTGGTTTCCGACGCATGCTGTAAGCCAGGGGTGCCCAATCCTTCTCCTGCAGATCGACTGTCCTGCACAGTTCATCTCCAACCCTAATCAAACACACCTGCCTTTAATTTTCAAGTGATCCTGAAGTCCTTAATTGGTTGCTTCAGGTGTGTTTGATTAGGGTTGGAGATGAACTGTGCAGGACAGTCGATCGGCAGGAGCAGGATTGGGCACCCCTGCTGTAAGCAGTAGATCTATCATAACAGACTGGGCCATCTGACCAATCAGAGCAGAGTAGACCAATCAAAACAGACTGGACCAACTGACCAATCAGAGCAGAGTAGACCAATCAAAACAGACTGAGCCAACTGACCAATCAGAGCAGAGTAAACCAATCAAAACAGACTGAGCCAACCGACCAATCAGAGCAGAGTAGACCAATCAAAACAGACTGAGCCAACTGACCAATCAGAGCAGAGTAGACCAATCAGAACAGACTGAGCCAACTGACCAATCAGAGCAGAGTAGACCAATCAAAACAGACTGAGCCAACTGACCAATCAGAGCAGAGTAGACCAATCAGAACAGACTGGGCCAACTGACAAATCAGAGCAGAGTAGACCAATCAGAACAGACTGAGCCAACTGACCAATCAGAGCAGAGTAGACCAATCAAAACAGACTGAGCCAACTGACCAATCAGAGCAGAGTAGACCAATCACAACAGACTGAGCCAACTGACCAATCAGAGCAGAGTAGACCAATCAAAACAGACTGAGCCAACTGACCAATCAGAGCAGAGTAGACCAATCAAAACAGACTGAGCCAACTGACCAATCAGAGCAGAGTAGACCAATCAAAACAGACTGAGCCAACTGTCATTCAGAGCAGAGTAGACCAATCAGAACAGACTGAGCCAACTGACAAATCAGAGCAGAGTAGACCAATCACAACAGACTGAGCCAACTGACCAATCGGAGCAGAGTAGACCAATCAAAACAGACTGAGCCAACTGACCAATCAGAGCAGAGTAGACCAATCACAACAGACTGAGCCAACTGACCAATCAGAGCAGAGTAGACCAATCAAAACAGACTGAGCCGACTGACCAATCAGAGCAGAGTAGACCAATCTGAACAGACTGAGCCAACTGACCAATCAGAGCAGAGTAGACCAATCAAAACAGACTGAGCCAACTGACCAATCAGAGCAGAGTAGACCAATCTGAACAGACTGAGCCAACTGACCAATCAGAGCAGAGTAGACCAATCAAAACAGACTGAGCCAACTGACCAATCAGAGCAGAGTAGACCAATCACAACAGACTGAGCCAACTGACCAATCAGAGGTGATGATGCAATGTATATTATGAGAAAATGTGAGAGTTTTTCAGCCTTGTATGCATGTAAATGTATTGTAACTCCAAAACAAAATTAGGAACATTTAAAATAGCATAATTGGGGCACTTTAAACGTGGTCAAATGTTCTAGACTCTTATTGTAAACTGAAAGCACAAATTAAATTAGCCAAAGTACTTCATATATGTGCAAGCAGGCACATAGTAGCACTGATCAGATTACTGTCTGAATGTGGAGAGCATGGATATTGTATGTATAAGTATAATAGGCTAAATCAATAAGTAAATTAGTTGTAGTTAATTTAATAAGTTGAACTTGCCATTTCAAGCTACAAAACATTAGCTGTTGTACAGTTTTATGCAATAGTTAACAACCTACAGCAGGAATCCCAAACTGTGTTCGTAAAACGTTTGTAGTTAATGGTTTTATGTAATACGTTACCTTTTGTTTTCCATTTTCCCACAGTCTCTGTACTTCAGTCCATCCTGTCCACAGAAGCTTGCAAAACAGGAATGCCAACCGTTTCCCAACTACTACAAACACCGTGAGTTACACATGTTCTGGAGCTGTCCCAAACTGTTTGAGTTTTGGGAGTTGATTTTTGTTTTTCTTTCTAGAGTATTGCATACTCATATTGACCCGTCACCGATCATTGCCATCTTTGGAGTAGTACCACAAGAACTTGGTATAGGCAAATGGGATAAAACAGTGATAGCATTTGTAACTCTCTTGGCCAGACGCATTATTTTATTGAAATGGAAGGATAAGTCTCCACCTGTATTTAAACATTGGATTAACGATGTTATGCACTATTTAACACTTGAGCAAATTCGTTATAATTTGCAGGGTAATAACATTAAATTCAGTAATATCTGGCAACCTGTTCTTACACTAATTGAACAAATGGACTCTAATGACATTGTATGAGTTTTTTTTTTTTATATATATATATATATATATATATATATATTTTTTTTTTTTCTCTATACCAGTGGTGCGATGGGGGTGGGTGGGTTCTGGGTTGCTAAGTGTCTGTTGTTTGTTGTATGTTAAAATACAATAAAAAGACTTTGATCAAAAAAAAAAAAACACCGTGAGTTACGATGTTCAGGCCTGCTTGGAAATTTCACAAAAGGAATAAGATATTTGCCAATTAGTTAGTCGTATATATTTTGTTTTATCATTATATTTTTATACATAACATTTTTATTGTTTTTATAATATAATTTAAATTATATTTTGAATAAAATGATTGGCATAATTGTCACGAGTTAATGTTTATTTCTTAATAGTGTTTTATTTTGCGTAATATCATGAAAATTATGTCAAATTACAATGGTGCAAAAAATAGATGTCATTTTCTTTATACAAAATAAAAATAAAAAATTCTGTTGATTATTGGCTAAAATATGACCCAGACCTGTTCTTGACAAGTTTTGTGAGATTCATCCTATGAGTCATGAGTACAAAACATGAAGTCTTCATTTTATAACTGTCACGTTATTGTGAATCTAAAGCATGTGGTTGAAAGTCGAGCAGTAATGTGAATTTTGACATTGTTTAAAACTGAAGCACAAACGGTTGCTGAGTTTGACTCTCGTTCTAACAGGTTATTCAATGACGTGCTGCTGTTTAACTCGGAGAAACCCCAGTTTAAGGTAAACAAAGCAAACTGAAGTAAAAAATAAACCTTTTAATTTTTTTTCTTTCTTTTTTTTTATGTCCGTGTCATAAAAAATTTAAGCTTAGGAGCACAGATTTAAGTTTGTAAAAAGTAAAACCAAAGGGTTTCAATGCGGACATTTTTGTCCAAAAGGCGCTGAGAGGAAGTATTTTGTGTACCTAGTGCAAAAAATATTTTTTAAAGGAAATGGGGGTGAAATAATAAAATTCCAATAAAAATACACACCAGTTTGCATAAACACAGGCAAAGTGATCAAAAAAACTAAACTGAAAAAGACAAAAATGTCCATAAGGATGGACAAGGGTTTTATAAACTATTTTTTTTCTCTCTCTTTCCGAACTCCAGATCAGCTCCAAATTAAAAGAGGCTCTGAAATTGTCTAAAGAATGCTTAGAGAGGCGTCTAGTGGAGGAACAGAGGACGGTTAGTGCATTGCTTTGTTCACTTTTGGTCTCTTGTGCAACAAATGTTACGCCACAGTGTCGCAAACACAAATCTTGTCATTTCATTCTAGAAAAGTGGAATAAAATGTAATACTGTCCACATTTTCACCAACCCTGATATCTGACACAACAGGAAAATCCGGTAACACTTTACAATAAGGTTCATTAGTTAACCACCTTAGTTAACATGGACTAAGAATGAACAATACTTCTACAGCATTTATTAATCTTAGTTAATATTAATTTCAACATTTACTAATACATTATTAAAATCAAAGGTTGTATTTGTTAACATTAGTTAATGCACCGTTAACTAACATGAACAATGAACAGCTGGATTTTTATGAACTAACATTAACAAAGATGAATAAATACAGTAACAAATGTATTGCTCATTGTTAGTACATGTTAGTTAATACATTAACTAATGAACCTTATTGTAAAGTGTTACCGAAAATCCTTTCAACTTATCTTCGAAAATCCAGTTACGTTTATGTAACAGAAACCTCGTGTGTTTTCAGATCCACCAGCACAAGAGGTTGACGCGAGCGCAGTCGCACCACGGCTCAGAGGAGGAGAAGCGCAAGAGGAAGATGTTGGCCAGAAAGGTACATGAGTTTAAACGCTTTACCATAATTAGGATTCACACTAAACGCCCACACTGTTTTATCCTGAACGTAATGGTTCTTAAAACTAAAACGGCTATTTGGGTTCCAGAAATCGAGACAGTCGACATATGAAAATGAGGAGGAACTCTCTGTCAAATACAATAACAACTCTGGTAGGTTTCATGTATTATCAAACTTTCCTTTATTAATAAACAACTGTAATTTAATTTCAAAATGTACGTTTTCAGCATTCAGGGTTCCAGAAGTATTTTTCTCCATAGGGATTTCGGGAAAGTCCTCAGGGTCAGTCCATCTCAAATAGACCAGTGGAGGTTGCTTGAGCATTTTAAATGTTCTTCTTTTGTGGTTAAATAAAAGTAAAATATAAATAAAATTCTGTAGCTAGTCTCAAGTAAAAAACAATATATAGATGTAAAAAAAGAAAATAGGAAAATTTAAAATTGTTAAGCAGCCAAATTGAATTTTTTTTGGACCACTTGAGATGGATGGACTCTTCAGAAAGAAGTAATAAACCATGAACCAAACCAACCTGGTCCAAGATAAATCACAATATTATAAACTTTTGTCGTCTTTAAATACTTTTTTGTTTTGAATAAAAGACTGTATACTTAATGTCTAACTCGCCCAGTAATTAAACAGTTTTTTAAATAATTAAGTGCACATCACACTCACTCACAAGAAATTACAAGATATAAACTCAAACTCAAGGAATTCTGCCTTTTCTTGTGATTCTGACTTTTTCCCGCAAATCTAACTTTTTTTTTTCTCGCAAATCTGACTTTTTCTCCCAATTATGTTTATATCTCGCAATTCTGACGTTTTTTCTCGCAATTGCTTCTGTCTAGCAATTCTGACTTTTTTTCTTTTTTCTTGCAATTGCAAGTTTATATATTTCTTTTTTCTCGTAATTCTGACCTTTTTTCTCGTAATTGCGAGTTTATATCTTACAATTCTGACTTTTTCTCACAATTCAGAGTTTATATCTTGCAATTCTGACTTTTTTTTTCTTGCAATTGCGAGTTTATATCTTACAATTCTGACTTTTTCTCGCAATTCAGAGTTTATATCTCGCAATTCTGACTTTTTTTTTTCTTGCAATTGCGAGTTTATATCTTACAATTCTGACTTTTTCTCGCAATTCAGAGTTTATATCTCGCAATTCTGACTTTTTTTTCTCTTGCAATTGCGAGTTTATATCTTACAATTCGGACTTTTTCCTTGAAATTGCGAGTTTATATCACGCAATACTGAGAAAAAAAGTCAGTATTGCGAGATACAAATACACAATTACCTTTTTTTTTTTTTTTATTCAGTGGCAGAAACAAGCTTCCATAGACTTGTGACTTTTATTAAAGCAAATACCATTGCCAACAACCTTGGTGCTCATCTAAATATTTAGAGAATATTTATCATTATTACATCTGATTTTGAATGGCTTTTTTTTAACTACCAGTACACTTCTGTTGAACTTTATTACTACCTGATCCTAGAAACAGCTGTCAATGTATAAATACAGTAAAGAACACAGTAAAAGTATTTTTAATGGTCTTCTAGCAGGTTCTGGGGCGAGTTCACCTCCAACCTGCCCGTCCTCACCCACTCCTCTACCAGGTACGTCCCGTTTATAACTCTGTTCATCCTCCATCATTATGTAAACTTCATCAGAAGAGTTTGTTTTTCCTGGTAGGGGAATGTTTTTCCAAACATTCCCCTACAGTATGTCCAATCAAAACAATCAAAGGTTTCCCAATAAATCAAAAGTAATTCTGAATTTATAAATTTGTTGCATGATGTGGTAAAATGTTTTCGATTGTAACTCACAGGCTTAACATCTCCTGTTTTTCTATCAAATTGAGGTCAGTCATGACCTAATCTCTCTTGTTTCCATGATCAATCGCCAAATTCCTCATGAAATCGGTTGCAATCTCCATACATCTTACCAGATCATAATCATCCGATGTGTCATCTCATTCTGATATGATCAGTAACTTGTGTGTGCCTCTCTCTGTCTCTCTCACTCTCTCTCTCTATCTCTCTCTCTTACATGCTGTCTTCAAAACTAGAGCATGCACCATTTTGAACGTGTGCGGGGTAAAGTAATTCAATAATAATCTATTTCAACTATAAAGTTGCAGCTCACCCTCCCTCAGTAGTACATTCTGATTCCCCATAGCAAAACTGCTACTCATTAATATTAAATGAGGTCTGTTCAGCAAGTTTCCAGCCTACTGAGAAGGGTTAATGCAACTTTAAAAGTTCACAATCTGCAATTGTCTATTTAGGCACAAAATTGGGCTTTTCTGAGGGTAAATTCTCTTACTAACAACAAGCACTTTTTGTGGATTGTGAGTTGTTGTTGTTGTTTTTTTGTTATATATGCAATGTTTATATTAGTAACTGCTAATACTTCTTTTTAAGATACAATTTTTTTAGATGATCTTTTGAATAAAGAATTTAAAAAAAATTGTGGTCTTAAAGCAGCTACAACTGAGCACAACCTTGCATCTTGCTTATTGGTTCAGAAGGCATGAGTCATGCTGTCAGTCACTTATTTCCAAGAAGGTGATTGGTTAGTAAATGATCACAGTATTGACAAATCAGCATTAAGTTATTTAAAGTCAACATGAAATGGAAATTTTCTTTCTAATCCTCATATTTGTAAGTATTACATAATTAATAATTATATTTTTAAATTATAATTTACTATATATATATATATATATATATATATATATATATATACCGGTGTATATATATATTCACCTATATATATATATATATATATATATATATATAAAAACACTTTATATTTTATAATTATTTATATTTATTTTAGGGCTGTCAAGCAATTAACCTTTTTAATCTAATTAAGTCATTATTGTGTTAAATGGGAAACGCATCAAATAGACATCACAAAAAGTAGCTTTAGAAAAAAATATTTAATTTGATTCAACAGAATTTACTACGCATAAACTTTTAGGCTTCAACGGCCATGAGGGTGAGTAAATGATGACATGAAATGATGAACTATACCTTTAATGGGTTTTTTATTAATATGTAAATGTTATTTTTTGAATGAAATGACACTCTAAATAGGAAACTACAACTGCCAGTAGGTGACAGTAAATGTCTAAATGAGTAAGTCATTGGCTGTGTCCGAAAACTGATAAATGCTGCCTTCGGAGGACGCATTCCAAGTCAACCGATATTTTTAAAATCACTTTCATGTTGACTTTAAATGTTGCCTTTTGTGGTAAGTGTCTCATTCTGAACTGAATGGCTGTTGTACTTTATTTGCTTCCTGTTTACATACCGCAGAGGATTCTGAGTATGTATCTTACTGAAAGCGACCGATCTTGATGGACTGTTTTCTGATTCCGCAGGAGCACCTCCAGCGCCTCCTCTTCCTCCCCCCGCTGCTCCTCCTCCTCCTCCTCCTCCTCCTCCTCCTCCTCCTCCTCCTGGGAGTGAACCCGTCCCTCCGTCCCTCTCACCTCCCGCTGCCAACGGCGTGGGCCGGGGTGCCCTCCTCAGCTCCATACAATCCTTCAACAAAGGCAAACTGAAAAAATCAGATACTGTCAACCACAACGGCCCACGTTTGTGAAAAAAAACCCGCTCATCTTTGTTTTAGTGCAATTCATCCACTCAAAGTTTTTTAGCAACTTGCGTCTAACAGTGAAGAGTGACTGTTTGTATCTGAACTTCTTCAATGTTTGTTTTATTCACATTAAATTCCAATGGAGCCCTGCATTTTTTTAAGCTGCTCAGTGTAACCTAAACAATTCTGCTTGGACCAGCTGTCATATTTTTAAAAAATGGACATGCGCACTCATTCGGGCGAAAAACTTGACCACCTACATTTTAAAGTACTGATTTCTGAAGACACAAGTTGGTGGAGAATGCGGGCAGCACATTTACTTTGAATGGAAATGTAATTGGATTTTACTATTGGTTCATAAAATGAGTGATGAGTTTGATTCTGACATTTGAATTCCACTTTGATTATGGTTCATTTTGGAAGGTTTGGGATGATGTTTTTAAGCATTTGCCACATTTACCATTGTGCCTACAAAAGCTGAGAGCATTCTTTGTTCTCTTTGTTTGTTTTTTTCCTGCGGAAATATTGAGCTACATTGTTCTAATTTTCTTTCAGAAGAAAGTAATATTCGTATTCCTGTTCTGCAAGATCACAATCAACATGTTGCACAAATAGCAGCATTTAAACGATGCGTTTATCATTTATGCCCCTTAACGACACAGTCGCTGTACCAGAAAAACAATGGCTTTGATTTACCACTGACATGATTATATAATGGCCATTGTTATGTCACTTACGCCATCTACTCCTATTGGTTGTTTCAGTCTGGTGGTAAATGGAAGAGCTTTCTTGTCTTGCACACAATGAGGGAGAAAGTAACTTCTATAATTCATGTTCATCGCAGGGTCCTCTTGAAAACCAGATTAATTTGTAATCTAGAACGATGTACAATACGATGCGCAATAGTTCATCTTTTGCTCTTGTAACAGTAAACTCATTTGTACATAGATTCATACAGACACTGAAACCATTATAGCTAAATATCGTAATGCATATTCCTAGCTTTGTTATTACCGTGGGGGAAGAATTTAATAATGTTTTCATTTTTTGCTACAGCACTTTACCACTGAATATTTAGCAGTGGTCTTGAGAAGAAGAGATGTTCTAAAGTTTACAAAGAGATTTATGAATGTCCAAGAACAGAAGAGGAATCAATGTGTTTGGTAATGAAGAAATTTGCCACTAATATTTGCATCTGTACAGTTGCCACAAACGTTGTTCAAAGCACTGGAGGTGAACATCCTCAAATTGTTGAAAAAAAAAATAGTTTTCCCTGTTATAAAAAAAAAACTTGTATTGGCAATATTTTAAAAGAATGGTCTTGTGCTTTTAGTTGTGAACATTGAAGTAAAGACAATGGAACAGATCTTGTGTGGTTTAATTCATTCTAACTAATATAAACTAGTAAATAACTTATGTATAGATAATAGAATATATTAGAAATTGTTAAAAAAAAATCAAATCTATCAGCTATATATACGCATGTAAATGTATGTATATATAGATATTTGTTTACAATATTTATTATTGATATATTGTGCATTCATTTAGAATTGTAAATATTGTAAATGTAATCATTCCAGATACTTTTTCTCAATATGTACAAATTTAATGTGGTGTAAAATTATACTGTAAATGTAGTTGATATAAATTACAGTTAATCTTATTACTAAGAGTTATAAATAAGATACATTTTATTTCATATTTATTTTTAATATTTGAACCCCTAGCTGTTTATTGTAACACTATCATGGAAAATATTTCAGATACTTTTCTCATAATATAATATTTAATATATATGTCCAGATCTAATGTGATTTATAATTATATTGTAAATATAATACAAATTTTAGTTAATATTTTCCACTGAATTTAGGATATAATAGTTACTAGTTTGTAATGATCATAAACAATCCTTTTTAAAATGTTACATTATATTTCAAACATTGTTTTTAATGTAACTTAATGCCTGTGTAATATCCCCCAAAAAATTTACCCTACATTATGGCATGTTGTGGACATCTGGCAACTATTAAAACTTTAGTCTTTTTCAGCATGACTATATTCCATCTTTAAACATAGATTACTACTGCGTGATTTTATCCTCTTTAAAAAAAAAAAAAAAGTAGTGTAGCAATTGATTTAGAAATAATCGATTTTTGTTTTCTATAAAAAGATTTTTCTCTTGCCCTTGGACGCCCAATGACAGCCTGAATGAAGCTTCCGTTGATGTCATGAGTCAGCTACATTGATTGGTCGCTGTCACTGTGTTTCCTGTTCTGATTTTACAATGCGCTCTCTGATTGGCCGAAGCCGCTAGCATGACTGCCCCGCCTCCAGACAGAGGACAGTGAAACATGGCGTCTCTGAGGTGTTTTCTGCGCTCGGGGAAGGTATTTTTTGGAAATATGTAATCTTATCAACATATTACGCTTGTGTTTATAAGAGGACAGTTAAGACTGTTATAGGCTGTGTTTGTCTCTCAGAATGCCGTCTCTGCTGCTCTGCGGAGGGAGTTTCACAGGACTCAGCCGGCTGCGGTGCAGGTCAGTGATGCTGCTGCTTCTCTCACCTTCAACCAGTGGCGGTTCTAGCCCATTTCAACTGGGGGGGCCAAGCTGGGGCCAGTTGTACTGTTAGAGGGGCCAGTTACATTTAGACCTTATTGTTGTCATATCATTTTCTGCACTGCTGCAGGCATTAACAGGCAAAATACCGTGTTTATAATCATTCAACAATGTATTTGCATTTCCATTATATTTTTACATTTGCATTACATATTCAGTATTAGTCACAGTAACTGTAATAGACATGATGTCCTTCTTTCTCTTCATTTTGAGAACTATAGAGCAAAAGCAATGGGGACCAAGAAGCTTATTAATTCATTTACTGAAAATAACTGACTTGATATGTCTAACCGTTTACAGGGTTCCTGCACACTTTTTAAAGTCAAATTTAAGGCTTTTTAAGACCTAAAGAAATCAAAATTAATACCGTACATTAGGGGTGTGCAATATTGACAAAAATATATTTTAATATTTTCAACATTTTGTTAATAATTAGATAATATTTTACTGATTGTGTTTTTGTGCTGGTGCCATGGCTGGTTTAGGCCTGTTGTTGACAGCTGACTCACGAAGATATTAATATTTTTCATATTCTATGCCGTGGTCAGTTCACAGCAGTGACAGAAATAAATTTTTTAATTAAGAGGCAATATTTGCCGCCTTAAATTGATTTCCAGGGGCATTTTCACCTATATATGGACATTTTTTCTAAACTTATTTAGAGTTATGCATCACCTTTTATGTCAAATACTAACATTCAAATTATACAGTAATTATACTTATTTATACAATAATACTTAATTATGCAATAATTATACAGTACCACTGTTACCAGTCAAATTAATTAATTCAATCAAAATCCATCTTTGCAGTGCAGAGGTGACACAGAAGTGGCATTAATATATTTACACTCCATTTACAATTGCATAAATAAAGCTATGAGATTTTTTTTAAATCAATATTTTAAAATAAAATTATTTCTAATTTTAACGTTTTAATTAAAGGATACTTTAAATATGAAACTAAAACCGCCAGTAGGCGGCGGCAAGTACCTGTAAGAGGGATTCATTCATTCAAACGATTTGTTCAAACGGCTGATTCATTCGGGAAAGAAGCAAGTGATTCGTTCAAAACGCGGATTTCAGTCAATAAATCATCGCTGTGTTGCATTGAGACTCACTACTACAGTTTCATTATGAAATTCTAGTCGGCGAAATAAAGGGAAAACAAACAATATTGACAATATTGTGTCTAAAAAGTAACTCCCAATGTTAACTTATTGTTAATTTAACTGTTGTATAACATAAATATCACAGTTGCAATTGTGCACGGGAAAACGGCACTCTTGCTGATGTGATATTCTAATATAAGAACATAATATGATATAAATATAAGACAAAAACTAATTTGGGGACATAGCCTACCTATGAACTGCACACAGCAGTGAAAGGACAATAGACAAATGCTATGTCAGCTCACAGTGCCTCGTACATAGTTAAAACAATGATTACAATATCATAATAGACAATACACATCGCACACGCCATACGCACATAAAGAATGAACTTACAACTGAACTGACATTTACCAACTTTCATCTTCTCTCCTCTGTCGCGTGCAGGAGACAGGCGTTATTCTGCCGCGATTCCCGCGAATGTGATGCGAATTGTCACGTGAAAATGCAAATCCACAAAGATAGAAAAAAAAAAAATAATACGCATACGATAGCAAAAAAACAGTTTTGTAAAAATTATTTCAAACTCCACATTTAGGGGGGCCACAAGGGGGGCCAAGCTTTTTGTCACAGGGGCACGGGCCCCCCTGGCCCCCCCTCTAGAACCGCCACTGCCTTCAACAGATGCTGTGTCACAGTAAACACAAAACCGCGAAGAAGAGGCTTTCAAATGTGTTGATTATTAGTACGTTTGGTCAACTCATTAATGGTGACTGTTAAGAATACTAACAAAAACACCATCGTAGTAGCATGTTTTGGGTGTGTACTACGCAATAACCATGTTTTTTGAACATTTAGCATATTTTAATGGAAATTCTTTGCTAATCTGTATCATGGTAATGTCAGTTTTTTCCTTGTGTACCGTGGTAAAGCCGTGTTTTGTTTTATACATGTACCACCATCACTACATATAGTGGAATCACTACCATGGTAATACTTTGGTGTTTTGGACATTTATCATATTTTGATTGACACTCCTTGCAAAATATACCATGGTTTTTCCATATGTACCATGGTAAAGCCATGTTTTATATAATATATATATATATATATATATATATATATATATATATATATATATATATATATGCAATACCTTGGTGATTTACTCATTTACCATGTTTTAATGGACATTCTTTGGTAATATACCATGGTAATGCTATAGGTTTTCCATATTTATCATGCTAAAGCCATGTTTTTTTTTTATCATATGAATACTATGAATACTGTTTTGTATATTTACATAGTGTTTTTTACATACACATCAGGGTATTGTTTTATAGGAATTGTATAATAACATGATTTTTTTTTTTTTTTTTTTCATTTACCATGATTTATGGACATCTACCACACTTTTTGCCATGTACCATGGTGTTACTATTTATTTATTTATTTTTGACATACTATGATATTACCATGCTTTTCTTTGCAGTGCTTCGGAGTACCATGTAAATCTCATAGTACAATACAATATTTAATTAGTGTCATGTTTTATATCAAAAGTCTATGCTATTACCATCTAATAAATGTTTAATATTGCATTATATTGTTTGAAAACATTCTGCTATGCCTTATGTCATTACACTACTGATTATTTTGTAAATTATTGGAAATATTTAACATACTTCTCATAATTTAGTATTTAATATCCATGTATTAAATACTATCTAGATCTTGTGGTTATACTGTAAATATTTTTAATAAGAAATTATAGCTAATGTTAATTTATAATAATTATATATTGCCAATTATTTTACAACATTAATGATTATAATTAATAACTGATATTTCAGATCATGTTGTCAGCATAATTAAATAGATGTGCATTTATCTTATATTTATTTTGACCTTATTGACCCTATTTGATGGCATAACATGAAAAGTTAAACCTAGTAAAACTGGTCAGGTCACATTTTTCACCATTAATGAAACTGCGTCATTCTTATATCTTATTTTTTAACAGTAAAGCAACTGATTTCTGGTTTCTATAAAAATATTCTTCTCTTGCCCTTGGACACCCTTGTTTTTCTGTATGTCCCATGGGAAAGCGTTTAAAGATAGTATAAAAAAAATGTTTTCTTGTATCATAGGTAAGCCATTGTGTTTTTGTTTAATCACTATATTGTTTTACATGTACACTGGTATGTTATGTTTTATGGGAATAAAAAATAAAAAATTTAATATGCCACGGTGGTACCATGTAAAACTCATAGTAAATGAATACGATAATTATTCAGAACCATGTTTTACCATGTGATATATGTACAATTACTGCATTTTTTTTGTTGGAAAACGTTCTCTAAGCATTAACACACTCTTGATTTCCGCAGGTAACAGTCCGAGATGCTCTCAACCAGGCCATGGATGAGGAGCTGGAGAGGGATGAGCGGGTTTTCCTCCTCGGAGAGGAAGTCGCACAGTATGACGGCGCATATAAGGTGAAATAAGATGAAAATATTTTTCCGCAATTTTGGCTATCAATAGCGCCAAAGCATCGGATCACAAGTGGACAACGCAACATACAGGTGTAAACGGGGTCGGAATTGTTTTGAGCTTGTCCACTTTCAACCACTTCCAGAGGTAGTAAAAAAACCGTGTTTGACCGGATTGTTTTCATAGTGTAAACGCTCATGTGGTCGAATGTGTTTGAACAGCCACAAAAGACCGCCTACTCTCTGCCTACTGATCTAATGCGTAAACATCATGGCAAGCGCGCTAGCCAGACAGGATTTAAACTTTGTCAGCTGAAGACCCAAGTTTGGTTTGACGATGAAAAACGTACCAAGCACAGTGTTCTCTCACCATTCCTGATTTCTAACACGCACCCAGTGTTCGGTTGGTCTTGCGGCTAGAAACGAAAGCTGCTGCTCTCTGTATGTTTTTCTGTTTTCTCCGATGGCGTTCATATGTAAATTGCATGAACTTATTTAATCCTTTAGTTTGAAAGATCTGAAAAACCCATACATTTACCCGCCCATAGATGCTCCCCTCGAAGGAATCATGACTGAAGTGGTTGAAAGTGGACGTAAGAGACGGATTAAAACACCAGGTGTAAACGGGAATGTCTCTCCCTCGTCTACTTGTGATCCGATCAACCAGAACGCATCTTAATACCAGGTGTAAACAGGGCCTTAAAGTGACTTGTATCGCAGGTTAGCAGAGGCCTTTGGAAGAAGTACGGAGACAAACGCATCATTGACACACCCATTACAGAGGTGAGAATGATGACCTACTTGAGCGAAAATCATTTTCGTGTGTTCTTAATTATTGTTTAACGAATCTTCCTCCTTTATCCATGCAGATGGGTTTTGCTGGCATCGCCGTTGGTGCTGCCATGGTGAGTTTTTCCTGAAATGACGATAATAAATAAATCTAAAAGCCACGTTCCCAAACTAACCAACCACATCCTCTTTCAGGCGGGTTTGAGGCCAATTTGCGAGTTCATGACCTTCAACTTCTCCATGCAAGCCATCGACCAGGTCATCAACTCGGCTGCTAAGACCTACTACATGTCTGCTGGCTTTCAGTCCGTCCCGATCGTGTTCCGCGGACCCAACGGCGCTTCGGCTGGCGTGGCGGCTCAGCATTCCCAGTGCTTCGCTGCCTGGTACGGACACTGTCCCGGTCTGAAGGTGGTCAGTCCCTGGAGCGCTGAAGACGCCAAGGGCCTTCTGAAATCAGCCATCCGAGACGACAACCCTGGTGAGTTCCTCACATGATGAGACTGATGTTCAGGATGTACAGTAGATGTCGCTCTGACTGGCACATCGTGTCTCTTTCAGTGGTGTTTTTGGAGAATGAGCTGATGTACGGCGTGGCGTTTGACATGTCCGAAGAATCTCAGTCGAAAGACTTCCTCATCCCTATTGGAAAAGCAAAGATTGAAAGACCAGGTGGGTTTGATATGAAAGAAAAACACACACACACACACACACAAGATGAGTAATTATATCACATATACTCTTTCACAACTAAAGTGGACCAAAAGAGAAATCTGTAATAAATTTGTCAGCATTTTAATATTTACTGATAGTTTAATAATATTTTTACATTTAATTTAATGTCATAAAATAAAATATTATTGAATAAAATGAGACCTATATAAACGTATTGTTATTATTATGTAACTACCCTGTCACATCTAAAGTTGACCAAAAGAGAAATAATTCATAAATGTGTCAATATTTTGAACAATGAAACAATGACACATTTATTTATAATTGATTTATTAATTATCTCTTTTGGTTCACTTTAGTTGTGACAGGGTAGTTACTATCTCTATTTTTAATAGTTATAACAATAAGCTTACATTCATTTTATTCAATAATATATTTTATGATATTGTTTCAGTAAAAATTTAAATATGATTATAAAATAAAATATTATTGAATAATAATAGCAACACATTTATATTAATATTATTCAATAATATTTCATTTTTATAATATTAAACATTTTCAGTGAATATTAAAATATTGAGATTAAAATACTGTTTTGGTCCACTTCAGTTGTGACAGGATCATTTACATATTATAATAATAATAATACATTTATATTATTATTATTAAATATAAATTAATTACCCTGTCACAACTAAAGAGAAATATTTAAACTTGTTGAATATTAATGTATAATTCATATTTTAATTTTCTTACTCTAATATTTCTAATAGTATTTATCTTTTTCTATCCCTTGAAAAATCTTTAAGTGGCACTGTTAATCGCTCTTATTTGAACAACAATCAATCACAACTTTAGAGTCATTGTTCTGAGTTGATGTGCATATTAATATTGGTGGTGTGCTGTAGGAAATCACATCACTGTGGTGTCCCATTCCCGGATGGTCACCCTGTGTCTCGACGCTGCCGCTGTCCTGGCCAAGGAGGGTATCGAATGTGAGGTATGACATCATCCTTTCGGCCTGGAATGCTTTTAAACACCATTTCCTCGCATTTGCTTGATTCAATATACACAGTTTTTAAGGAAAAGTGATTCAAAACACATTTGATTCACAGTCAGTGAATCAACAATGTTTGTTTTTTGGGCAGTCATGTAAATTGTAATGAAAAATTTTACAAAAATCACACACAAAAAAGACATTTTTAATTTGCTCACATTTAACATTAATTTCTATAAGCTTATTGAATAGACAGTAGTTTGAAGTGTCTGTGTTTTCGTCTGTAGGTGATCAACATGCGCACCATCCGGCCTCTCGACACAGAAACCATTGAAACGAGCATAATGAAAACCAATCATCTCATCACCGTGGAGGGCGGCTGGCCTCAGTTTGGAGTCGGGGCGGAGGTTCTTGCCCGGATCATGGAGGGTAAATATAACATTAGTGCTCATTTGAAGTCAGATGCTATGTTCAAAATGAAATGCTAGTGCACTACTTGCTGTATTTGCTCAGAATGTACTGTATACTGTTTTATTTGATATTTTACAATGCAAAAAAATGTTGTGCTATATTGTTGTCACATGACCACGATGTTGCATGATTAATTACATGTAACTCTACATATTATGTAGTTATGTTCTTTCAAAACTGGTCGGGAGTATGTCATTCCAAACACACCCAGAGTTGTGTGTTCTTCAGCACGTAGATTTATTGTTTTTTTCTTTTTTAATTCAAGGTCCTGCCTTCAATTTCCTCGACGCCCCTGCAGTCAGGGTCACGGGTGTAGATATTCCAATGCCGTACGCCAAGATTTTGGAGGACAACAGCGTACCGCAAATCAAGGACATCATCTTCTCCATCAAAAAGACTTTGAACGTTTAACATATCTCCATTTCAGGACACATTAAATATTAAATACATGTTCTCTCCCGTTTCTGCATCAATGTTTGAGGAATAGGACGTTCTTTTTCATCTTTCTGTTACATGGCTCTTCCCTCATTGGGGCTATATTAAAATTATTTTCTCATTTCGACTCTATAATGAGGTTGTGTCATGACAGTGAGGTTTATTATGGCTATAAACAACCGACCATGTGTATTATGCTGTAAATTCTACTGTAAGCTAAAATAAACCTTTATCACAATGGGTTGTAAGAATGAGTGTAAAGTCCTCATAAGCAAATAAATGGTTAGAATTTTAGATTAAGTTTTGGGTTTATTTCTGTGGAATGTTTAAGTAACAAAGATGTAGGCCTTGCCATATAAAATAAAAATGAACAACTGCGAAAAAAGAAATGCATAAATATGGAGTACTGGTACATAATACTTTTCAGGACCATATTGAACTTGCACTGGAACAGTTCTGCTGACTGAAGTGTTTTGGGTGATGGTCTGAATGTAAGAGAATAAAAGGGCGGGTGTGTGGTGGGCGGAGCTTCTATCGTGGGTGTGTCATATCCGCTAATCCCACATTGATGTCCCTGTCTTGTTCTCTGTGACTCCACAACATAAACATTACAGTTATTTTACTCGAGCAGAACGAGTCGCTTTTGAACATAAGGGTTTCAAAATGCTCCTGTATTTTGGAAAAGTCACGAAAAACCACACAGGGAAGCAAAGTAACGTTATCCTTGTTTAAACCTAAACCCCTTGTCCTCCATATTCCTGATGCTTGGGACGAAAGGAAACAACTGAAGTAACGTTACATCGGACGAGGAGACTTAAATCCAAAAATTGTACGTATTTTTAACGACGTAATATGATAACTGAGCTTTTGTATTCATATAATGAGATCGATTGTAGATTATGTATTTGTCTTGTATCATTTACTACGTTTTTATTGCAGCCGCTATAAATTAAATGCGTGCTGCATCATAATTTCGTTAATATTGATAGGTCGCTGTTTTTCGTAGCTGATTTATATGATTTCGTGTTACGTTATATCTGAGACTTTGCTACAATTTGTGGTGGGATGCAGGGAAACCCTCGGTGTACTTCATATGCTGCGTCATTTATTGGACGATACGTTTCCATGGTGATCTCGATATTGCACTTGAATATGCTGTCTAAACTGAAATATAAAACTATATCTCTTTAGGTTTGGTGAAGTGTTTATACCCCATAAAGACTGCAGAGAGCGTCATTCGTCTCCAGGATTGAAGAGGAGCAGTTGGCCACATGGAGAATGGAGACTGGGCACACATGGTAAATATAGACGTATAGAATGACGCAGCGGTTCACCGCTACCATGTAAAAAGAGCCCACTCCTATATTATTATCCTGTAAGCATTTTCAGTTAATATTGTCATGTTCCCTGTTCTAGCGTTAATATATGGTTGGGATGCTTTGCTATGCAGTTCTAGAGTGTTTTGCATTGTTGCTATGGTGTTGCTAGGGTGCCAACATTGTGTACTGAACAAATACAAACAATATGCAAAACAAGAAATTATTTTTTTATAAAAAAATATATTTTCTGATGCTCTTTGCTATGCAGTTGCAAGACTCATGGTGCTAAGGTGTTTTCCGGCTGGTTGCTAAGCTGTTATGGTTAGTGATGGGTGCTTTCGAAACACTTCGTGAAGCTTTGAAACATCTGTGAATCATTTGTTTTGAACCAGTGTTTCGGAGTGCGTATCAAACTGCCAAAGCCGTGTGATTTCAGTAAGAAAAAAAAGGAAGAGTTGTTTTTAAAAGTCTCTTATTGGTCTGATTAACCAAATTATCCAATTTGTTTGTAAAAGTTGTTTTTTATGCTTGTTTAAACTGAGTTTTCGCTGTATTTACACTTTTCTGACCAGCAGGGGTCACCAGCGTGTGGCGTTTTGAGCACTTCGAAACAGTGAATCATTTTACAAAGCAATTGGTTTAATTGATTCAAAGTTTTGAAAATCTTTGTTTCTCCCATCACTTGCTAGTGTGTTCTGGGTAGTTGCTAGGCAGTTGACTGAGCATTACTAAACGGATGCTTACCACCCTAAGAACAAGCTTTGAGGGGCGGCCATTTTGTCTTATCCCAGTGGTCCATTTTGTCTGAGACCAAGGTTTTATGAAGAACAGGGTTGAAAACATCTCATGTGGTTTTTACCATGCTACTTGTGTGAAGCTCAGTTTACCACACTATAGTTACCATAGAAACCATTGTTCTTAAGGGTTTTGTCAATGCAGCTCAATACAGCAAATGTTGTTTTCAAGCCTTATAGGTCACCTTGCTTTACAAGAAAAACCAAGCTGGGTGAAGTTTTGCTGGGGACCAGCATGGTTTTGATGCTCCACCAACTAGAACAGAACCAAATCAATGGATCTGCATGGCCATTTGTGTTGGTCTACGTTGGTCTTTGTATATCAGTTCAAAAACCAAATGACATTCTCAGCAGGTACAACATACATCTTTTAATACTTTGAATATCTACAATTTATGTTCTTCTTTGTTGTAGATAATGGATACAGTTACCTTAAACGCTGTTTAGCCTGGTTGCTAAGCTGTTGGTCAGCGGTTACTAGGGTGTTCTGGGTAGTTGCTAGACAGTTGCAAGGGCGTTACTAAACAAGTGCTTACCACCTTAAGAACAGGATCTCCAATGGCTCAAAAAAGAAAAGAAACCAAGCTTTGAGGGTCAGCCATTTTGTCTTATCCCAGTGGTCCATTTTGTCTGAGATCAAGGTTTTATAAGGAACAGGGTTGAATTCAAACACATCTCATGTGGTGTTTTAAACCACAATCCATACTTCCTGAAGCTCAATTTACCAAACAATAGTTTCTGTAGTAACTGGTGTTCCTAAGGGGTTTGTCAGTGCAGATGAAACCAGCAAATATTGTTTTCAAGGCTGGGCCCCAACCAAGTCTTTCTTGGTCAACCAGCTTTGCAATGAAAAACCAAGCCGGTTTAAGTTTTGCTGGAAAACAGCATGAGTTTGATGGTCCACCAACAAGAGCATCACCAAATAAATGGCTATGCATGGCCATTCATCTTGGACTAAACTTTTGTGTTCAGCAGGGAATGGTTGAGTGTTTGTTGTATCAGTACAAGTACCATCTTGACATTCTCAGAAGGTACAAAATGCATCTTTAATGCTTTGAACATCTACTATTTATGTTCTTCTTTGTTGTAGATGATGGATACGGTTACCCTAAATGTTGGTGGCCATTTGTACACCACATCGCTGTCTACCCTCCAGCGTTATCCAGACTCTATGTTGGGCGCCATGTTCCGAGGCGATTTTCCCACCACACGAGATGCCCAGGGCAACTATTTCATAGATCGAGACGGTCCACTATTCCGTTACGTCTTGAACTTTTTACGAACCTCAAAATTGACTCTACCATGTGACTTCAAAGAAACAGAGCTCCTCCGGAAGGAAGCAGACTTCTACCAGATAGAGCCCTTGATCCAGTGTTTAGGTGACACTAAACCTCTCTACCCGATGGACACCTTTGAGCAAGTGGTAGAACTGTCAAGTACTCGTAAGCTCTCCAAGTACTCGAACCCGGTGGCAGTCATCATCACCCAACTCACCATCACCACCAAAGTTCACGCACTGCTTGAAGGCATCTCCAACAGCTTCACCAGATGGAATAAACATATGATGGATACCAGAGACTTTCAAGTGTCCTTTACCTTTGGACCATGTGACTACCACCAAGAGGTGTCCCTTCGCGTGCATCTGGTGGAGTACATCTCTAAGCAAGGCTTCACTATTCGCAACACACGAGTTCATCACATGAGTGAACGCGCCAATGAGAACACGGTAGAACATCATTGGACTTTCTGTAGAGTTGCGCACAAGGTTGAGGACTGATTGATGATGCATTCATGTCTTTTTCGAACATTACTGTAATTGCAATAACTTTGAGATTGCCAATTGAGCAATCACATGTTTAATGAAGACATGGACATTTTTTAATACTAGTTGCGACTCAAAATTAAGGCAATTTCGAAATTACTTGAACACACTACATCTCCAATGCAGTTCCAGGTTGAGATAACCAACAATAAACACGATGAAAATGTTTTCTGTAGTACGTAATTCGTACAAACTAGTCCTATTGTGTTTTATGCATCTTCCCACCCACTTCAGAAGTTTATGGACAAAAGGAACCTGAACAATTTGTGTTTTTCGTTTCTACAAGTACAGTATACCTCGTTTAAGGTAAATTCCTTCCTAAACTGTCATGTCTCCAAATCTATTTATACAACTCTTAAATGTAAAATTTTAACATATATTGCATCAGTGTTAAATATACAGTATTTAATTTCGATTTACAATATTTCCACAGATGTTTTGTCCTGTGATTGAGTCTATAAACTGTAAATGGTTTGCATGATTCTGTGGTATCTACACTATTAGTATTTAGACATATTTCCTCCCTTGAGATACAGAAAAATGATTTGTACTTGCATGTCCCCCCTTAATACCTCTTATGGCCAGCTTCTGGACCAGGCCAAATCTTGGAGTCCCAACGTCCCATTTAAAATTAATTTTAGTCTCAAAATGCATGCAAGACTCAGGCTAGCATCACTGAAGCTGAGAGCATCTTTTAAATGGTTTGAAAACCCAGATTAAACTGAAAGAGTTCATTCATGTGTGTAATGAATTGGACCTGCACATTAAAAAAACAGTAGTTTCATCATACATTGTGTGTTTCTGTTTGGTAGTAGATGTCTTCGTATAATATTTCATTGAAAGAACATTTAGGTTTTATTAAAGAAATTTAATTTATTATTTGAATGTAATGTAAGTGAATTTTAGTGCCACTCTTTCAAATGCAATAACTTCAATAACTGGATTATATCTGATTTTGAAATATTAGATTTTGCTGTTTTTGTGAGGTTGTGGGAGTGGCTTTTACCTTCATTTATGTTAAGATTGACAACAGTATTTTACAAGGTGTTGGTCTTATATGCGTATCACTCATTTCTTTGTGAATTTTGCATTTAAATCTGCAGTGTGTATTTCTGTGCCACTAGTGGTGCCAAATGTAATTGCAGTCTGTTTGAGCGGTGTTACATAGCAACACTTGCTCAACCAATGATGCATGTTCAAGGCGGGGGCTACATGTTTGTCCAACCAACGATAGGCAAACTTGTTTAAAAATAGGTGTGTTCGACTTGAAGTGGCGCTACGCAGACGATCAGTGTATGACATAAAAGTACAGCGAGAGATACAGCATACAGAGCCATCTGCTCTCTAATCACTCTTGAGCATACTGCAGTTTTAGCATTGAAACTTATCAACAGTATCAGTAGTTAAAGGGATAATTCACCCCAAAATGAAAACTCTGTCATCATTTACTCACCCTCATGTTGTTCCAAACCTGTATGAGTTTCTTTATTCTGTTGAATACAAAAGATGATATTTTGAAGAATGTTGGTATTGGTAACCAGACACTTGGCGTTAGCCAATGACTTTTATAGTATTTTTTTCCAATGAAAGCCAATGGCTACTGTCAATGTCAACTGTCTGGTAAACAACATTCTTCAAAATATCTTCTTTTGTTCTTATGAACAGCACATTCCAGGACCCAGTTTATGTCCGTAACAGTGGACATTTTTTCTAGATTTTTGATTGGACACAAACAAACTGTCCAACACTATCAGATAAGGATGCACTGACAGAGACCTTAAGCACAAGAAGGACAGGACTTCTCATTGGTCCACTGGCAGTTTCTACCCTACATCCATCATGAGACTAATCCCTAAGGTCTGAGCCAACCACCATAAAAATTCTTTGGGACTTTTTGGACCCAAGAGCCTTGGCTGAAATGAAGGGAGGCCACAATGATCCATCCAAATCCAATCTTAAAGCTGCAGTCCGTAGCTTTTTTGGGTTAAAAATTATCCTAAATAAATTTGAGCAAATACATATCCAGCCAGTGTTCAAAACTATCTGCTTGCCTTAGCTTGATTCAAAACGGTAAGCTTGTAATAATGTTTTTAACTCCAGTGCATGTCTTTGCGTCATTACGTCACATCTGTACACATAAAGGAGTCTCGGCTAGTAGGCTATGTTGCGTGCGAGGATGTTGGAGGTGGAGATTTATAGCCTTTTCTCACAGCACTTGATAAAATTAAACTTATTAATTTGATGGCGGATCCAGAAAGGTTCAAACGATTGTAAGCAATTGTTAGATTTAATCTTTTTCCCTTAGTTGGTCAGAACCAGAACAAAAGTGGATGTTACTTACTTTTTCAGATGACATATTCCGGTGAAAATTATTGTGGTCATACTTCCAAAAAGAATAATCTGTGATTCTGAATGACAGTATCCACACCGACGCAGTGACTAACAGTCACACACTCTCCTCAAACATTGGATTCATCCGCGCTGTGCCGTGTCGAGCCACAACTTGCGTAAAGTTGATAATTCTGCGAATAACTGCAATTGCAGATCTCGAACAGCGATGGCGACAGAGGAAAAACTGCAGACTGCAGCTTTAAGTATGCTGTAAATTGCAAACGTCCATTTCATACTTATTCAGAAAAACAATTATTCTCAGGGACAGCTATTTGTAGTGCAACATCTTACACAAATTCAGCGAATGAATGAATGACAGGTCAATCTTTTTACATCTGGTTTAGACTCTATTTGTTTAGAATATTGCCAAAGGTATTCAGGTGTTGGTTTGGAAAGTGAGAAATGCATCAGTAAAACATTAAAGACTTCAAACTGTGTGCTTTATGCAAATGAGTTCCACAGGGGAAAGAAGGGTGGGCCACACTGTGTGTCTCCCCTCTGATGCCAGCAGCCAATCACAGCACTGGAATGGAGAAGGACCAAATTGCAATCTCCTCATCGGAAAGGGATAAAGGTACCCTTGAAACAGATTGTAAGGGTAAGACAACACAGGACCCAGTTGCGAATGCAAGTTAACCGTTTTTTGTTGTTGTAAATAACCAGGAGAAATAAGCAAGGCAGGGTGGTCAGATGTAGTCATGCAGGCCTTGGCAGCATGGAAGACTGCAATGGGCTGAATGATGTCTGCCGATCAATGAAGTCAGTGAATAACAGCAAGGCAGCCAGTAATCCAGACTCAAGCAGGAAGCAAACACACATGAACAGAAGATTTGAGAGAACACTGATGGAACAGAACGGCAAGACATAAGCACAAGAAATGATCAGAAAACGAACACAGCCAACACTGACAATAATGAGCTGCAGGTGCGGCTGGTCTGATTAGCTCTTCAGCGCAGTTGGTAGCTAGGCAACGCTGACGAGCAATCAGACCAGTGACTGGAACACAACAAAGACATGTCAGAATGAACACACAGACCCGTGAACTGTGACACAGACACTCCTTATTCCTAGAGTCTCAGGACTGCGAAGGTGAGACAGAAAGAGATCAATCACTCAAGTTCTGAGTGAGACATAACAGATACACTGCACACACTTCTGTTCTGACCCTCCAGTTCGTCCAGAGAGACAACAAAATATTCCATGATCTGGGTCTACAGCTTCTGAGGCAGCAACCGATACGACCACATTCTGAGCTTCCAGTCTGTGAGGAAAGAGACATTAACAAACACTACGTTCAGAGTCTTCGTCCAGCGAGACAGTAAAGACTACAGCACGTCCCAAGTCTCCGTGCCAGAGAGACAAAAGCGGATTGACCAAGTTCTAAGTGTCTCAACCAGAGAGGCGGAAGACAAACAGACACTTGCAACAAGGTAAAGCTCAGAAGAGCAAACCTTCACTTCAAGGTTACTTTGTCTGTGTGTTCCAGATGATTAATGAACTCTGCACAAACTTCAAGGCCTCATCTGCATGTTCCAGATTTTAGGAACCATTGGTGCTCCAGGAGATCAGCATCCCACAGATCTTCGTGTTCAAGGCTGTTGAAACGGATTCCGGCTCCTTTCTTCACTGCATTGTTACCCAGCACATCCAGTGGAAGACGTTACCGCCATCCGACTGCTCACTCGACCACGTGTGTGATGGCTAAGGCCACACCTGAAGGAACATTTGAATTGGTTCTAGATTATTATTATTTTTTGTATGTAAAAATTGATATTTTTGTTTGATCTAAGGAATTAATGTTTTGTTTTGGTCTATTTATAAATTTCTATTTAATTTGTCTGTTTAAATATAAGTTACCCAGACCTTGGAACTGGAGAAGCTACGTTGTCCCTTTAGTGGTTTAAATATCAAGGAGCGCACGCTAGAATAAATGAAACCACAACCAAAATATGGGTTTAAAGTTTTATTTAAGTTTGTTATATGTATATCTTACCCATGGTTTCGCCGGGATCCATGACTGCAGCATGGAACGGTTTGGAATGAAAAGTGTGCGGCCTTTTCCTGGTGTCCTTTATATATCTCATGGGGAATTATGGGAAATGTAGTTTTCAGGACAATATGGATTGGGGTCGTGTGTTAATTCACATGTGTTTAAAGGAGGTGTTTTATGTATGAATGTTTAAGTGTATTTTCTTTATTGCTTTATGGTAAATGTTATTCTTATGTTCATTCGTGTCCGTGTGTTGCTATTAGTGCTGTCAAACGATTAAAATATTTAATCGCGATTAATCGCATTACTGTCATAGTTAACTCGCGATTAATCGCAATTAATCGCACATTTTTATCTATTCTAAATGTCTCTTGATTTCTTTTTGGGTCCGTGTACTTTTTGATCATTTCATTTCCTGTTTGGAATGGAATAACGAGAAATGAAAACCATCTCGTTTATTCGTTTTTTACTTTAGTTTAAAAAACAAAAAATGAGATTTTGGCTCGATTTTTCATTTTTCGTTTGTGGTTTACAAATCGGTTTATGGGTTCGATATTTCATTTGGCAGACGTGAGCGCGCTGACACGCCCCTTTCGTCTGATTGGTCAAACCGCTACGCCTTCAGTACGAGCGTTTCTTTCTGTCAGGCAGAATAAGAGCCAGTACGAGTGCGGCACTGACAAATGCATTTTAATAAAATAATGTCTGAAACCACCACTCACTGTTAACTACGCACAGTATTTGAAACAGAAATGTTGCTGGTCACATAATTCGTGCTGCTGCGACTTGCAAGCAACCCCATTAATGTGAGCCACTGTAGGCCTACACAGATTATTTTAGCTAGATGTAGGCCTATTTCTCATTGATAAATACAGTGCGAATAGTTCCGTCTCTTTGGATAAGGGGAAGTGAAAATAAAAATCAATAATAGGCTGAACTGTAGCCTACCATGATAATATGTCCGTAACATTAGATGTCCGTAGATTACCTACCCATAACTGTTACATTAGAGTTAGGGGATAACACAGTTTATAGCTACAGTATAAAAATCATTGTCTAAAATTCCCATAAAACATGAAAACCCAACAACCCAATGGGAATATATCCTTGTTGTGTAAAACATCTGTTCATAATCTCTGATTACACAATTCCAATACGAATAGCACTGAGAGGCGTCTGGAATGACTGTGCAATTATCAATCCGCATTTTTAAACCAGCTAATTTACAGTAGGCTAATATTCAGAATGTTCTTCTCATAGAACGCCAACTACCGCACAAATGGGCTTCCTTTGTGAAATATAGCAGACCACATTTTTTAAACTGTTATTTAAGCTATATTTGTGCATAAATGTTTGCATTCAAGTTTTTAGAGACAGACAGACAGACAGACAGACAGACAGACAGACA